TTTACATAAAAAACAGAAGTCGGTTGACGAGTAGGTAACACCCTCGATTCCCGACAGTCATGAACAGGGATTGAATCCCGCGTTAACATTTTGTTTAATATGTGAATAACCCACATATATTATTCATTGTTTCAATTATCATTAACTAGGTTGCTCTTGTTGAGCGGTACCTAATAAAGTGATTTTGAACCGGTATTTTACATAACTGCGTTATCATTTGGATATCACAACATTTTCTTCCTAACGTGTAAATTTCATGGCTGTAGCGTATCGCCTCCTTGGTGTAGCAATTTTAGTGGCCAGTAGAGGACAGGAATGAGGGAAGGTGAGCTTGCTACTCCTCACAAGCCACGTATGCGCTCAGTCGGGGCTCACCCCGGCAGCAAGCAGTACAGCGTTATCTCCCGTAACGGGAAGTGCCAGCGCGTGACTCACGGCGGTAGATAACCTCCCCCACGGCTCTAAGGCTGAATGCACTGAGAGGAATTCCAAAAGTTATGGTACCGTTTAATTGGTATAACAGGAAAAAAAGCTAAAGCCCAGTACAAAATAGATTCAAATTTCAATGTGTTATCGACCGTTTTGAAAATAAAAACGAATAGATCCAGATGGTTGAACTTTTCACCCATACCAAATTCAAAAAGAACAGTGAAGTGTCTTATAGATTTTGTATAGCTTTTTAAATCTATATTATATGGTAGATGTTTCTTTTCTCTATTTTCTTTTCCATCAATTTCAAGGTGTTATATTTGGGGTAGGAGTTTGGGACGCATGTGTTAAATACGAAAAAAAAAAAAAAACTATCCAAAGAGACATGCTATGCACATACATACCTTGAACCTCTGGTGGTTTGTTCTTTAGCCCCATTGTCGTTGAAGTCTTCAATTTTGGACTTCTCGCAAAATTCCTTTTGAAATCCGAGCCTTCTACAAGTCTTCATATTCCATATCTACTTGTAATCAATGGCCAACAAATTGGTATTCCCTGAGTTGCTCGATTGGGACACATTTATAGCCGATATAATTTTTGAGTTAGGATTATAGAAATTTAGAAGCATTTGTAAAAAATTAACTCTTTTAAAATTTGGGAAGAGTTTTTTTTTTCACACACAGTCTATGAAAAAAAATTTCATCCACAGTTTGATAAAACCTCTATAACTTGCGACGTAATGTAACTTTTCTGTTAATTATCGGCATCATGTGTAACGAGCAACTTAACTAAATCTAATGCATAAATAAAGAGATACGGCTGGTGGCATACACGACTAGCCTCAACGCATACAAAAATCAAATTCACTTCTAAAGTCTCACAGCTCTTTTTAGCGTTGATGGCCTATGTATCAATAATCTTGGATGAAGCGTGTGACTGTGATTTGTACCTACGCTCTAGTGGCACCTTTCTTCCGTGTCTCTTCCGACCTGGCTTCTTGTGCCAACTCACCATGTTCCAATAGTCCCATTGCTTATACATGCTGTCGGAGATTGAAAACAACCAGTTCGACAATATCAACATAAGCTGATAGAAAACAATAAAAATATATTCTTTCTATTGAAGATGGATGTTTCCTGGCGGGGATTCATACTTGGTAGTAATTAGACACAGAAGTTAACAACTTTATTTTTCATCCACATTTTGGTCAGTATCATTCCCATCGAGATTGAAAACAACCAGTTCGACAATATCAACGAAAATAGATAGAAAACAATCAAAATCTATTTATTCTTTATATTGAAGAAGGATGTTTCCCGGCAGGCATTCATACTTGGTAGTAATTAGACACAGAAGTTAACAACTTTCTTTTTCATCCAAATTTTTGGTCAGTAGAATTCCCATTAATATCTCTCTCTCAGAATTAAAAATAAAATGAACGAAACAAGATAGAGAAATGTTTCATTATTACTATAATTCTCAGACATCCTTTCTACATCTTTATTTTCAGGACAAATTTTCATTTTTAACTATAAGTTTTATATTGATCCAAAACTATTTATAAGTACCATCGATCGAGAAAAGTCTTATATTTTGTCACAACAAGCTAATATCACAAAAGTTCACGGGCGCCAGATCTAGAAACTTACTAGGTATACGAGGTGTGTTCAAAAGGTATCGCGACTTTTGTGTTTTTTCAAAAATTATTTATTTATTCATGAATACCTATTTTGTCCCCTTCAAAGTAATCCCCATGAGATATTATACACTTGTGCCAACGGTTTTTCCAATCTTCGAAGCACTTCAAAAAATCTTTTTTTTTTGTATCTTTTTCAGCTCCTCCTTCGATGCCGTCTTTATCTCGTCAAGCGTAGCGTAACGTCGTCCTTTCATGGGCCTCTTCAGTTTAGGGACCAAGAAAAAGCCACAGGGGGCCATATCTGGGGAATACGGTGGTTGCGGCATCATTAGTGTGTTGCTTTTGGCCAAAAGGTCGCGCACAAGCAACGATGTGTGAGCAGGGGCGTTATCGTGGTGCAAAAGCCAATTTTTTTCTTCCACAAATCCGGGCGTTTCTGGCGGATTGCTTCGCGCAAATTGCGCATAACTTGCAGGTAATATTCCTTATTGACCGTTCTAACCTGTGGCAAGAACTCATGATGCACCACGCTCCTGCAGTCGAAGAAAACTGTCAGCAAAACTTTCACATTCGACCGAACTTGGCGCGCTTTTTTCGGTCTTGGTTCGTGCGGCAGCTTCCATTGAGATGATTGAGCTTTTGTTTCCACGTCATAACCATAAACCCACGCTTCGTCACCAGTTATGACCCTCTGGAGCAAATTTGGGCCGTCGCGGACAGAGTCCAACATCTCATTAGCAATGTTCATGCGATGCTGTTTTTGGTCGCAATTGAGCAATTTTGGTACGAATTTCGCGGCGACCCGTCTCATGCCCAAATCATTGATAAAAATCGAATGGCACGAGCCAATCGATATGTTTAGGTCCTCAGCAACTTCTCAAACGGTGATTCGACGATTGGCCAATATCATTTTCTCCACTTCATTAATTTTTTCGTCTGTTGTTGAAGTGCTCGGGCGTCCGGCACGCTCTTCGTCGTTCACATCTTCTCGGCCTTCTGAAAACATTTTGTACCACCGATAAACGTTGCTTCGGTCCAAGGTAGCTTCTCCGTATGCCACAGTCAACATTCGGAATGCATCCGCGCACTTAATTTCGTTTTTCATACAAAATTTGATACAGGTTCTTTGATCCATTTTTTTAATAGGTAAAAATCAAAGACGATCCAAAACACCTGCAAGCAAAGCAGCTGTCAACAATTAAGTGAACATTTAACATGGCCGAGCTTGTCGGCATAAGTGAGAGACATGAGTACCAACATAAAGCCACAAAAAGATCGAAATTCGAATATACGTAACCCGCGAAAATTCAAAATTCGCGATACTTTTTGAACACACCTCGTATATGTACAAAAACCCATGTGCTAGTAATCCCCGTCTCAATGCGCTTCTGCTCTATTGAAACTCTTTTACACAACGTGTGATCATTAATTTACAGAATTGAAACCAAATAACACAAAATATTCAAATTGATAAATATTTTTATAGGATCTTATATAGATAAATCAACACGTAGGAAAAATGATCGCATAGGCGCATGCGCTCACATTATTTTGAGTTTATAAACTCGCGTATATCAAACCATTTTCTAACTTAAGTATGGTCCGAATTGAAAACAGAAAATTTACATAATGTTTTTATTTATATTAGGGAAAACATCTTCAGTGCGAATCGTATGTTGAAGCAGAGGCTCTAAAGAAGTTTCCTTATTACAATCAATGACGTTTTCACGATCCAACACGATTGTTCCAGCTTTACTGGTCGAACAGTCGACAAGGATGACCTAAACCCTGACAGACATAAATCCATAATAAACTCTGGAAATTCACTCGAAATCAAGTCATTGATTAAATAAAATTCAAGAATTATCAGAAAATTTGATATTTATTTTGTAAAGTGTCAAACCATCATAAGGATTGATCTATTATTTACAATATCTTCGGCTATATTTGTTCCACATATATTAACGAATGGGAAGAAAGTACAGAGCAAGGAAGCATGCAAAAATGGCCAGAAGGTTTAATTATGGTACCTCGATATTTTAGCACGAGAGATGAAACACGGGTGTAAGGTCACAACTAAAGAGAGAATACTAATAAATAAATCATAAATACCATTTTCAATTTACGACGTGAAATGGATAAAATAACAAACAAGACTTTGTGGAAATGAAGCAGCGCTACAATATCAAATTTAATTTTTTGTTGTGAAAAGCACCGAAAGAAAACATGATTTATTTAAAGCATGCGGTAAGCATGTTATGAGTAAAATACATATTTGAACATTCTTTATTCAAATTAAAAATGGCTGAAGAATTTATGGACAAGCCAACCTCAGAACTTCCAGTAAAATCTCGTTCCCAAGAAATGAAGTAGAAAGTATCTTGAATTTTGCTCAGAGACCGAAGATAAACTTTAGAGAGTTAGCATAAAAATCTGAAACGAATACTGATATAGTATGACGCATTTTGACAACACCCAATCTTTGATAAATAAATCCTTCAGCTGAAAATGCTACGGCCTGTTCTCATGTGGCTGTAACCGAGTATCTGACAAACACCCGGGGCCACATCTTCATTCACTTGACCAAGCAATTTCTACTTGTTTGGAAAATCGAAAACCCTTGAGAAAGTTGGATATTTTCAATAGTAGATGGAATTGTAGCTTCATGAAAAACTTATGTTAGGCACGGAGGAGGAATGTACTCAGTGTTTTCGCTCTCTTATAAAAGATGGGAAGTAGGGGTTATCTTGAAGGGGATAATTCGCCTAAATAAACATATTATTAACGACATTTGAAAACTATCCCGTATGTGTTTCTTTTCAACGAAAAATCAAAATTTATTTTAAGGAGAAATAACGATTATTTCTAACCTTTGGGATGAGGTATGAAAGGGTGAATTGTGAAGAGTAATGATAAACGGAAAAATAAAAGTGTCCAGGGAAGGGAATCAAACCACACTGTTCCGCTTACCGGGCAGATGCCATGTCCACTAGGCTACCCTGGACAGATTTTTCCGTTCGTAAATAATACATAAAGTAATTTATAATACAATATAATATAATGCGGCTTGTGGTTGTAAAACGACATTTGAAAACTATCCCGCATGTGTTTCTTTTCAACGAAAAATCAAAATTTATTCCAAGGAGAAATAACGATTATTTCTAACCTTATGGATGAGGCATGAAAGGGTGAATTGTGAAGAGTAATGAAAAACGGAAACATGTGTTTTTTTCCTTTCAACTATTTTATATAGGGCGTGAAGTAACAGTGAAGAGCACCTGGTATATGGATTGAAATATAGGTCTTCCATCAGCAATAAAGACTTATAACAATGGCGACGTAGCTCTCTCTGCTCATTATCTACCTTAATAATAGTAGACTAGCAACAATACATTTATAGACTTGAAACAATTAGCTATATGATGCATTATCGCGCTATATATAATTATTTAGAAATAAAAACTAAGCTGAATATTTCATTTTTAAATAAAACAATTTTATACTGATTTTACTGCGATAAACCTGCCCAGAAGTCCAACCCCTCCTCTATGTGGCGGGCGGTAGAAGCAGCACAAGTAAGGGACTGCCCTGTAGGGCGAAGTACGGTGTCGTGAGCTCCAAGCCTCTACGGTAACCGTGAACAGGGAACTCTGAAATGTGGCTGACTAACGGGGCAATGGCACTCCCCCTTTCCATGGAGCAACAGGACAAGACACCACCACCACTGTGATAATAACAATATTGGGATGGCCTGACTTATCAGTAGTGAATACTCCCAGGCCCCCCAATACAGTAAGTACAACAAGTATAAAATCGTTTGATTAGTGAAAAAGAAACATTCCTGGTTAACTAGTCTACGATCTTTCTATATACAGTTACGAGCGTCATGCGTTCTTAATTCTTCAGTTTTCATCTCTGTCACCGTTTGCTTTTTTTTTTTTTGGAATGGCGCTCTCCTATTGGTTGGCTACGATCACGCCACCTTTGCCCCCCTCCCCCCCCCCCCCCCCCCCCCCCATCATGCCCCCCCCCCCCCCCACTCGCTTTTTGGTTTTTGTAACTATTGTGTTGGAGCGGGTCGCACCTTAAATAAATGCATATATAATTTAATAACTAAATGGAATCCTCTCTTTCTTTTTCTCAGTAAGAGACGCCTACGGAAGCCAACAGTACATAGACAGATAAAGCACATAGGCTATAGTTATTAACTAATATATGCATTTATATAAGGCGCCAATTTATAATTGTAACAAATAGTATTTGAATAAAAACATTCAATCGGGTAAAACACGGGCGTTGCCCGGGTCATTCGGCTAGTATGATATAAACAGGAGGTTTATATATACGGAATATCTTCATCAGGCTGTCATTAATCTACTGGGCATGGTGGGGAAAATTACGATATTTATCTACAAGAAAACTGTGTGTGTAGTATTGTATTCCCCCTTCATTGTTAATCCATTTGTGCATAGTTTACTTTACATATATTCTTTATAAGGATATGCCTTTTTCATAATTATGCACCTTATCCCAGTACAATATCACATTTGTACTATTTTTTTCACATTGTGTCGCGATCTCACGCAATTCTAGCCTTAACTACCCGTTTCATCATTTTTTAGGATGCCTTGAATGACCAATTTTTTGGTCGTTGAGGTACAGCTTGCACCACGCTGATGAGGGCCAACAGCCCGAAACGTGTCCGTGGTTAGCTTTTCTTGATTAATCAAGAGTGGGTATTTGGCCAATTTTGGAATAATTAAAAATCAACGAGAATAGTTGATATTTATTCCGATAGATGGCGCAAGCCATCAGCACTTTCAGTTGCACGATAAAGAGATGCCTTTTTTCATATATTCTTTAGTTAAAAAGTTACAAATATACTCATGGACAAAACCTAAGGACGTGGAATGCCTTTTATGTTGCCGGTCATCTTTTTTTTTTTGAAAGAGACAGAGGCAATTTTGTTTACACTGTTTTCAATAAAGGTCACTGTGATTGAATATCTTCAAGAGTTATTGTCTGAATCCCGATAGACATGCTAAAAGGAACAACTTCTTACGTTTTGTCCATGAGTATATTCTTAGCCCATTTTGCTTTGGATTTATGCAAATGTTACTTCTTGTATCGTCCCTATCATGTCCACTAGAGTTAGTGTCGAAGGATGCATGTGATAGTTTAATAAACCAGGTAATTGATTATCTGATAGTTAAAGATTTATAACAACAATGGTGTGAATGTTAATCCAACAATGATTTTTTGCTAGGGTATAGTTTCTATGGATATTTTCATCGTAAAATGATAGATTAAGGCATTACAAACTCTATTTACATTTATTTCGATTCGCCATCTTGAAATCCAATTGAAACATTCACAGCTTCCTGAACATGTAAACCCGAATACACTAATAAGAAATGACAAATAGAATTTGAAAAAAGACGCCAAAATTCCGAGGTGTATTGAAAGGTATACTGGTCAAATTTATACAAAGCTTCAATCTTTTGTAAAATCTTTAAATATAATTAATATTATTTTTCAAAATTTCGACATATTAATTTGAAAGTTGTTTGTCACTGCTCCTATAAATCGCTCAAAAGAGGAATTTCATCGTATATATTGTATAAAAGGTTTTCGTTTTAAAAGTAATAGGCGAAATATATTTCTGAAATTATAAAATAAAATTTATAAATAAAAAATAAAAAATATAAAAGATAATAATATAAATTTATAATTTTAAAAAAGTACTGTTTTTTCTACATGAAGCGCAATTTAATTAATTAACAAAAAATTAGTATCAAAAGTGATCACTAGATGGCAGTGCAAGGATCTCTGCTATCGCCGAGTTGGCTAGCCAATCATAGATAAGCCTTCTGTACACAATGGTCATCTTTTTATCAGGGATGACCTCGGCTAGGGCAGAAGATGGTCTTTGTAGTTAACTTGGCTCAATTTGGGAACAATTTGGGCTTCTTCCTGGAGGAGGCTTTACTGGTGTTTTCTCTTCCATTTCAAGTTTTGTTATTTGCATTTCCCATAGATTTCTTTGTTTATTCTTCTGAAGAATTTGTTAATTGTTATGTCGCTTAGAATATTGACGCAATAAACTTATTGTTGCTGTTCATTCAGTACATTGGGGGTCGGTGGAAGGATGGTCTAATCCGTTGGTTTTCGACCGCTACGACCCGGGCTCGATTCCCGCATTGGGCACTTTTTTTCTGATAAAAAAATGCTCCAATGGCTACCGATTCTTGCAGAAGTCCAACCCCACCAGCGAGTGCAAGTAACCAAACGGGGCTCTGGTACATTTGTAATTGCAAAATCTAACTGCTTTTCACATATGTAGACATGTGGTGCACTAACAGTAAAAGCAGTCACCTACTTCTACCCATCATGATTATCATGGCCTGTCCCACGTGTACGAGGGATAAGTAGAAAAAAAAAAGAATACATGAAGATCCTGATGGATTGAAGGTTTGCAGCCTTTGGTACAGTACGTGCATGTTTCTACGTGGTTTCAACGACTTTGGATTTACAAAATGGCATAGGTCGTCTTCAGTAATGCGGCGGACTTGTACAAAATTTAAGAGGGGAATAAGATAAAGAATTTAGTTACAAATTCATTGAATCTGATCTTTGATGAAATTACATCATCTAAGCTAAATTGAATCCATATTGTAACTATCATGATCTATATGTATGTGTAATATATTGTATTCTATCCATTAATGGATTTTTTCTTAGTACAAAATTACAAAGTGTGGTGGCAACAGAGAGACAATTGAAATACTTTTATTGACATCTAGTCAATAATAAATTTTAAATTAATTAAAATTAATGAGAATGTACAATGATTTATCAGTGAGGAAGACTCCATAATCTTGATAGAGTCCTCCTTCAGACCAGGATTCTTGGAACCCCCGTAACTCTAGGGCCAGGAAGTGTTTGGCATCAGAGAGAGAGAGAGATTGAGATTGAAACTTCTTTACTACATAGTTCATATAAGGTTATATATATATATATTAAAAATAAAAAAGGCATCTCCTGACCACGAGCACATTTGCTTTTTAGATGGCAGAGCGCCATCTAGTGGAGCAAAAATAAACTAAACGTTTATTTAGCTTGCTCCGTGATATTTGGCCAACCCAATTTCTTGATAAATCAAGTAAAAGCCATTCACGAACGCGTTTCGCGCTGTTGGCGCTCGTCAGCGTGGAGTAGGCTGTAACCACTGCGACCAAAAATATTTTTGGTCCCAGGAGCAAGCTAAATAAACGTTGAGTTCATTTTTGCTCCACTAGATGGCGCTCTGCCATCTAAAAAGCACATGTGCTCGTGGTCAGGAGATGCCTTTTTTATTTTTAATATCAACATTTGAACAACTTATCTTTTATTTTTTTTTCTATTGTTTTTTCATATATGGTTAAATATAAAATTGAATAAATATGAATAAATAAGGATAAATATTGTTAGGAGAGAAGAGCGCGGCTCGAGGCGGGTGCTCACGTGCCACTGTTCGAAAACTTTTTGTTTTGGCTACATCTTTTCCCGTGGACTTAGCGATAACTTTTCTAAAACTTATTTCAAATTTCATGTATAATTCTTTTTACATCATTTAGTCTTGTATAATTATTTACTATAATTTCCTATCGTTCAATTATTATACTTTCTAATTAAAGATTATTTAAACGTTAAAAAGACTTCACGAATGTTTCTTCCCAGTACATCAGGCCACCAGCGCAACACTGGTGGAGATGCTGTTTCCAACCCAAGAAGAAGCAGGCGAACACAAGGCCTGCCACCAGTTAGATCTTTTAGCGCCTCGCCAACAAGACGCATTGATCCTGAAGATGCCGCCTCGTGGAATAACAACGTCTTTTTCTATCAGCCACCACCTCCAAGCCTAGAATTTTTCGGAGGGTATTCTGAAGAGGACCCAGCAGAGTGGCTGGAAGAACTCGAGCTTTTAGCAAGACAGCAGCGATGGCCCGAGGACGTGATGCTGGC